TGTTGCCCCAACTGTGGGATGGCTACCACTAGCAAAGATGGCTCCATGACAACTGAAGAACAGCAACTACGTATCGAGAATGCCAAACTCAAAGCTGAGGTCTAGGCTCTAAAGAACCAACCAATTAAATCTTTTTATTTTTTCTCTTTAAAACCTTTATTTAATGTTCATGTTTTACAATTTTCAAAATATTGCAGGTAGAAAAGTTGAGAACAGTAATAGGAAAATACCCTCCAGGGGCAGCATCGACTAGTTCATGCTCAGCTGGAAATGATGACCAAGAAAACAGGAGTTCATTGGATTTTTACACTGGAATTTTTGGGCTTGAAAAGTCGAGAATCATGGAGATTGTTAACCAGGCAATGGAAGAGATGAAGCAGATGGCTACGGCCGGTGAACCGCTGTGGGTTCGAAGCGTTGAGACTGGTCGGGAGATACTGAACTATGATGAATATGTCAAAGAGTTTTCTGTTGAAAGCTCAAGCAATGGGAGGCCAAAACGATCCATTGAGGCCTCTAGAGAGACTGGGGTTGTTTTTGTTGATCTCCCAAGGCTAGTTCAAAGCTTTATGGATGTGGTAATTAATTAAGATCATTCTCTTCAATTTTCTTAATGAAAATTGTAGAAGATCATATAATGGACTGTAATTTTGGTTTTTATCTGTTTCCATAGAATCAATGGAAGGAAATGTTCCCATGCATAATCTCAAAGGCGGCAACCGTTGATGTGATTTGCAATGGCGAAGCTCCTAACAAAAATGGTGCTGTACTGTTGGTAAGTTTCCTTGTCTCTCTGTCTTTTACTACATCTTTATTTCAAGATAACATGGAGCAGCTGTAATTGAAATACTTTGTTTCCTCTAGCACCATCATTTAATCTCACATGCAATCAAAATTAAGACGAGGAAAAAAAAAAGAGGTATTATTTCATATAACAGTATGTAATAATATTGATTAATTGACAAATCATGCTCGTAGGTCTAATTTGACATTATTAATGAAAACGCTTCATTAAAAGATGCTCGAATTGGTAAAAACACAAGAAAAATCATGATTTAAAAATGCTTTTAAGCTCAAACTAAATAATATTTACCTGGTTGTCAAAAATTGCTTTTTATAACTAAATACATTTCTAAATTCATCCTTAAATCTTAATCAACTTCAATTAATAGAATCAATGTTTAATTGTTTAATTTTTTTAAGTTCCTATTCTACTCTATCCTATCATCAACCCCACTCAACCCACTAACTATACTATACAAGAATTTACCTTGGAGGAAAGCGTTATGCGCTCCCTTACTAATGCAGAAACTTTCATGCCATTGAGACAAATGCTCGTAGGCAATCAATGTTTAATTGTTATCAATACATTTTTATAAAAACGTGATAGTTTGTAAATAGAGGTAAAAATTATAGTCATGGAAGTTTAAATTTAAATTTATTAAATATTATATTTTAAAAGTGATTTTATTAATCAATTGAATTAATTTTTGAATTTTTTGTTAATATGTTTTATTGTTAAGATGTGAAATTCCAAGCTTAGTCAAAATGCTGCACAGCTGTTCAACTTTTGAAATTGATTGCTTTGATTAACGAAGATGATAAATAGAAGTATAAATTAGATTATCTGGACAAAATACAACCAAGAATCTGCAAAGCAGCTTCCCATGTCTTTAACTTTATTGAGAAAGGGGTGATTTTCGATGTGTGCTATATGCTTGTACGTTATTCATCTATCTTTTTTAGCCAAGTGGTCCACGTGAAAAGTCGAAACCTTTTTTTTTTTTTTGGATGGATCTACATTTAACCCAAAATCAACTTATCTTCAATACTAAACTCAGCGGAAGGTCAAATTCTTTTTGACATTTAGCCGTCACTGACGCTTCCAAAATTTCATGGGATAATGGCTCCAAAATTCATGTTTTAGGCATTTATTTATGTAAGCAAATAGTCCAAATTGAAAGATGAATGAATTATTCAGGTTCGAATTTCAACATCTTTTAACTCATTCTTCTGTTTTTCAAGCTGCGATTTTTTTGTGCAAAAAAAATAATTTTTAGTGTTCTTTAGTAAGTTTTACACATTGTATTAATGTTTTGGAAACTCTGCAATGGGCGATGGCTGCAGATGTTTGCGGAGCTGCAAATGCTCACACCCTTAGTGCCAACCAGAGAAGTGTATTTTGTCCGGTATTGCAAGCAATTGAGTGCTGAACAATGGGCAATTGTCGATGTTTCTATCGATAATGTTGAAGAAAATATTGATGCATCCTTAGTAAAATGCAGAAAACGTCCATCAGGTTGCATCATCGAGGATAAATCCAATGGCCATTGCAAGGTATAAATACATATATGCACATAGCTGTTGTAGGAAATTGGGTGGTATCCAAGAAAATTTACAACTTTCTTTTAACAATTTTTAGGTGACCTGGGTGGAACACCTTGAGTGCCAGAAGAGCACTGTTCACACCTTGTACCGTACCGTCGTTAACAGTGGTCTAGCCTTTGGTGCAAGGCATTGGATGGCAACATTGCAGCTTCAGTGTGAGCGTTTTGTTTTCTTCATGGCAACAAATGTTCCAACCAAGGATTCAACTGGTAAGTTTAAATTTGTCCATCTTATCATGCAAGTTGACAACATTTTTGTTTAGCAAAGAAGATTTTTCTAAATTCAGTACTTAACTCAATTAATTCATATATTCAACAAATCTGGAATTCAGATATTGATTCGTACAATCCCTTCCCTTATTCCCAAAATGCAGCTTCTTTCGTACCAAAAAAAAAAAATTCTGATCCATTGCCTGTTATTTAATCAGGTGTTGCAACATTGGCTGGGAGGAAGAGCATTCTGAAGTTGGCCCAAAGGATGACATTTAGCTTTTGTCATTCAATCGGTGCATCAAGCTATCACACTTGGAACAAAGTCACTAGCAAAACAGGGGAAGACATTAGGGTTTCTTCCAGGAAAAACTTGAGTGATCCTGGGGAACCTCTTGGGGTGATTGTATGTGCAGTTTCTTCCGTTTGGTTGCCAGTCTCTCCTAATCTCTTATTTGATTTCCTGAGAGACGAAGCTCGTCGCAATGAGGTACTATACTGTATATCTTTGCCTTGACGTAATCACTAGAATAAGTTATTAGAATCATATCATTTAACAATCTTTCTTGGGTAAACTTTAGTGGGATATCATATCAAATGGAGGTCCTGTACAGTCCGTTGCAAACCTCGCCAAAGGGCAAGATCGCGGCAATGCAGTAACAATTCAAGTAAGTTATCCCAACAGAGAACATTCAAAGCTAAAACATGTTTTTTTCTCTCACCTGCAACCTAGCAAGACATAGGAGAGAGTTTTCGAATTGTATCCAGAATTCTAAATTGCATCATGTTTTCTGTTCAGACAATGAAGTCAAAAGAGAATAGCATGTGGGTGCTACAAGATAGTTGCACTAATGCTTTTGAATCCATGGTGGTCTTTGCTCCTGTGGACATAACTGGTATGCAGTCAGTGATCACAGGATGTGACTCAAGCAGCATGGCCATATTACCTTCAGGATTCTCCATTCTTCCAGACGGGCTAGAATCAAGGCCATTAGTGATCACTTCTAGGCACGAGAAGAGCAATGACACCGAAGGAGGATCTTTGCTTACAATAGCTTTCCAAATCCTAACAAACAGCTCCCCAACTGCCAAACTAACTATGGAATCCGTGGAATCTGTCAACACAATAATTTCTTGCACATTGCGAAACATAAAGACGAGCTTGCAATGTGAAGATGGTTGATCACAATAGCCTTCTTGATTAGGTAGACATTATTTGTAAAACTCACCGTTTTTTTTTTTTCGTTTTTTTCACTTTCTTTTCCCCCGCAACTTACGGGTTTAAGCCAATGACCTATTTTTGTTACGTGGGCTTGTTTCTATTCCTTCTTTGGTTAGCACAAATGGTTTGGACTTCAGGCATATTGTCAGGGCAAGCTGGATGGATAGAGTTGGGTTGAAAAATTATTTTACATCTAGGAGAGTGAAATATTCTCATGTATAGAATTACCTTTCATTAATGCAATATTGTGGTTGTCTTGATTGCTTTAACGACTTATGATTCCTGAAATATGTTGAATTATCCACTGTTTTTAAAGATTTTTTAAGGGTTTTAGACCAGTAAATGAAGGTCTCAGAGATCTCATTGCGTACTATTGCCAAGATGCTGCAGCAGTAATGCAATGTTACTTACCATTTACTTATGACCCAATACCAATGAACAGAATAATGACCTTTGAAGCCCCCCATGCAGCGTCATGGAGATGCTCAAGATGAGGTCTTTTAGGACTAAATGGATAAATCACTTTAAAATGAAGCATTTTCACACCTCAGAAATCACTAAAATAGTGCTGTTGCCATCAAAGATCATCACTGTGAAAGTACAATTGTTATCAAACATAATCCGACAGACTGATAATCAGACAGAATGTTAACTATCCGGTATCCCCTCCCCTTTTAACAAATTGTCGAACATCTTTGCATAGCAGCTTAAGTCTAGGAACCAAATTCTCAGACCAAAACAAGACCAGAAGAATTCCATTGCAGCTTAACTTCATGATCATTTCAATCCTCGGAGTAAATCTATAAAAAATCTATAAAAATTCTAAGGTAATTCATTCCTAAAGGAAGCACAAACTAAAGTGCTACCACATAATTATTTTCTTTGCAATTTCACCATTTTCCTCACTTTCAATTCCACTTCTCAGAACCCAATCCCAACTGTCTCCAGTATTTTCTTGCCTAAATCTAGCTCCCTCAATCATGATTTTATCACTAAAACATCAACTTTTTTTTTTTACTAATTAACAAAGGAACAATTCAAATAAACCCATCAAAAATTAGACAAGAGAACACCAAGATCATGACAAACCCAAAAAAAAAAAAAAAACCATCCATACCAATGAAAAACAACAATTATTACATTAAGAAAAAGCAGTTTTTGAAACACTTGAAACACTTGCAAAATATTACAAATTTACCAAAATAGAAAGGGACTCACCCCAAGGGCTCCTCTTGAGGCTGTTTAGACTCCAATGGAATCCCAAGCTCCCCTGTCTCCTCCTTCTTATGCTTCCCATTCTTACTTGGAATAGGCACAGCAAGGAAAGACTTGGTCTTGCTAATAGGCCTGCTCTTTTCAAGCTGCACAAAGTCACCAACTTTGAATTGGTTATCAGGGTCATGAACCTGGAACTTCTTCTTCTTCCTGACACGCCTTTTGTACTTAGGATGCGGGGCTAAGCGCACCACTTCCACGGACACCGTCTTGTCATTTGTAGCACAAACCACCTTGCCTTGCATGGATTTCATTGCCCTGATTGGAGGGAGAAAAGCCGGGGTTTTGAAGGGTCGTTGAGAGAGAGAAGAGTTGGGTTTTGAGAGAAGAGAGAGGGAAGTTGAGCCACAGAGAAACGGGGATGAAAGCTTGAGAGATTGGAGGCGGTAAGTTATCGACATTATTGAAGAAGGGGACAAAGGGATTTTGGGTTTTTTTTGTCCTTCCTGTTAACGGATTGGGCATTTGGGATTGAGTGTAGTAACTAGTAGACACTCAGAGCTGATGACCACAATGCCTTCTTCTTCTTCTTCTTCTTATATATTATATATATATATATATATATATGTTATTGAAATCATAATGCCTTGAAAGTTTTTTAACCAAAATGTTGTGTTTCTAAAGTTATACGAAGAAATATAATGCCAATGTTTAGGGTACTCTCGCATCAATTTATGAAACAGATTTCTTTAAAGTTTTTAAGTGAAATTTATAAAATTTTTTATTAAAAATAATTAAATCAAAATCAAAAAAATTAAAATAATAAATTAAAACATTTCGTTATATATATTAAATATATAAAATTTTAATAAATTTTAATAAATTTTGATACATTTTTAAATAGATATTTTTTAGTAAAAATATTAACAAAATTTTTATTATTAAATAAATATCAATCAAATTTTAATTATAAATAATTTTTTTAATTTTTTTACATATTATTAATTTTTATATTAAATTCTATTAATTTATTAATTTGAGTTTTTTATTTAAATTTTTATTAAATTATTTTTTAAAAAAATTGACAAATTTCACTTAAAAAACTTATGTAAGTTTTTTCCTCAATTTATTATCAACAATTCATTTCACAAATGAATTTAAAAAAATTATACATATTTTTTAAAATATATAAACAACTTTAATATAAAAAATAAAATATATATCAATATTTTAATTTTACTTATAAAATTAAAAAATTACAAAAAAATCTTAAAAGAAATTAACGTCATAAAATATTTTACGATTGTTCATGAGATATCTGTTACATCACATCAGTTCATATCCACAAATTAATAACATTTCATCACTTTTCCCCAGGTCATTACTGAAATTTCCCATTTAAAACTTCTTCCGCATCACGTTTTTTTTTTTTAAAATCAAAATTAAGATTTCAATGTGAATTTTTTTTTTTAAATTTTGTTTTCTTTGAAACAAATCCATCACTGCTTAATTCCAAATCTATTTCATCCGTAAGTTTGATTTTGTAAAAACCAAGTAAAAAACTACTTCTGCTGATTTAAACCCCGCTTAACCATCCAATCCACTGAAGTTTGAAAATTGAAAGTATAAATAATATATCAATATTGATAAGATAAGGTGTAAATAATATATCAATATTTGTAAATTATTTAAATTTAAATTTAATTTGATTATTATTAAATGAAATTTGAGTTTGAATAATTTAATTTATCTAATAAATCGAGTTTAAATATATTAATATCCGATTTGAATAATTCAAGAGTTTAATTAAACTTTTAAATTTTAATATATTTTTATTATTTTAATTAAAAAATTATAATTTTATCTTTAATATATCAATTTGAGATTAAATTTGAACATAAAATCAAACTTAAATTGGTTATAAGAAACGAAATTATTTTTATTAAATAAATTTAATTAAGTGAATTTAAATAATTTAATTTTTATTTTAAATAAATTCAAATTTAAAAATTAAAAATTAATTAAATTCAAACTAAATTTTAAATAAAATTTATATTCAAATATTTTACTATTTTGATTCAACTCGATTTGATTAATCCTATGCTACCTTCCATCTCCGTTCTTTTTGAAGGTACTCTTAGATGAAGTAAAAGGAAGGGTGAATCTTTCTCACTCCTTGTTTAATCATCGTACGAATCAAAGGAGTCACGCCCAATTTCAGTGCCTTTGATTTCCTGTTCCAATGCAATTGAGATTCCATGGAAAACCCTCCATCCTTCAATTAGAAAACTCACTGGGAAGTCTGAATACAAAAAGTTGATGGATTCAAGGGTTGTGAGAAGCCAATAAAATTTCTAATTATGGTGATTGGGTCTAGATTGAAAATTGAAAAAGAGTTTATGGATAAAACACAGTAAATGAAGTGTTAAGTATTGAGGGTTTAGTGGGAGAAGTTTTTTGTGTGAAATTTAGCAAATGATACGTACAATGATGTGGGAAAAGTGACGAAGTGTCATTAAATAATTGGAATGGGATTTGAGCTGATGGAGCTTAGCGTGATGGTTTCATATAATCTTTTTCTCTTACAAGATATTATAACAATAACAACAATAAACTATTTTTTATTGTTAAAAAAAAAATCAAAGGAAGTACTGCTGAATGACGGATTGGACACAATCAAGTACTTTGTAAGTTCCATCGCCAAGCTCAGTGGTTTCGGTTAATCGTGAAATTTGTGAACATATATAAAGCTTCGGATGGTTGAGAAAATGTAACATGATGACCACCTCCCTTGACGATCAAGAAAGTCAGTAAGTCTCCAAATAAGTACTTCCTCCCTGCATCCTGTTCAATATTGGTAATTTTATTAAGCTAATTATAAGGTAAAATAAATAAATAATTAAAACATAAAATTCAAGTGGTTAAACAAATGCCAACAACAGCCATGTAAACTATAGTTAAAATGATGAATTTTTAATTTTAGTAATTAAATTAAAATTTAAATTTAGACAATTTCAAATAAAAAGAAAATAAATAAATAAACAAATAACCTTGTTTTCATAATTCCAAGCTTCATCTTTTGTCAATTTCATATCTAACTCCTCCGCCAGCTTGTTTAAATGTTTTAAGGTTCCCATCGTTGGTATTATACCGTCTTGGTCTCCACTGTGACATGATAGTCAAATGCAATAAAACGAAAAAGGAAGAAAAAACGAAGTAAGCCAATATCGCATGAATATTTCTACTTGAACTGTTTTTTTTTTTTTTTTATCATTTGTTTTACGTTTTTTTACTTGAACATATAGCAAGAAGATTTGATATACAATACCAACCTGAATATTGTAATGGGAACGGATTGTTGAAGAATCCTTTTAAGTGCAGGAAGCATGTCGAGATCTTTATCAGCTTCGTTGTATTTAAAATTGTCACTAAAAAATAATGGTGATGAGAATTTAGGGTAAGCAATTTTTACAAGACAATCTATTGAAATTGAATATATGCGAAAACTTACGAGAAACAACTCTTCCATGCATATGACGAGTTGGTTCGATTCCCATGGAAAGCTTTTTGAACTTCCGGGAGATTGAAATAGAAATCTGCCCTCATTAGAAGGCACATATCTACTTCATGGCTAACCTTAGTAAGCTGGACCCAAAAAAGAAAAAAAGTTTATTGTACTGATATTAAAAAAGAAAAATAATTCATTTGGTACATTTATTCGTTTTGACATAAGTGGTTTTCAATTAAAATTCTATAGATGATTTTTTTTAAAAGGATCTAATCAAAAAGAGATTGTATATATTAAAATTAAAATTTTAAATTTATTAAATAAATAAGCCATAATATTAATCACGAATGCAAGTTGTGTAGGCATATTTTATTTTAGTCTGGACACTGAGTGGTTTATCTAAAATTTTTTTCAACAAAAAAGAATATTAATAGGAAGAAACTAAATGAATACCTCTTTGCCTAACTTCAAGTCTTCCAAACTTCCATCACATGGATCGCGAAGGACATCAAAGAGTTTTCCTCCGGCAATTCTAGGATCACTCGTCTTGAAAGCAACCAAAGGTGCTTGACTCAGAAGTAGTGTGCATGGTAAGGTCCATATGGTTCCGCTGGCACCCAAGTAATTGTTTTCGTCAATGCCATTGCATACTTTCACGATTTGCTGGTGCAATTCACTATTAATCATCCTCCGAGAAAAAAAGAAATCAAATCTTGCGAGAAGGTCTAACTTTCCTCGGAGCATTGGATTTCCCAACTGTTTAAAAGATTAAAAAAATAAATAACCTCTAGTATTTCACTAATTTAAACCTAATAATTCGTGTATTTATATTATTTATTTTGTATCAAATATGTATAAAATATAAAAATTATTATGTTATATTTTAGGTGAACATCTCAAATATAAAACATTTTATTTTATTTTTATTTTTTTCAAACTCATATAGGATTTTTACTAAATTTTTTTATATATTTTTTGCAGCGTATCACCACATGTAATTATAATTTTTTGGTCTACGCTAATCCATCTGTCCAAACAAATACTACTTACAGCCAATCCTTTGACGCTAAACGTGGATTCCTTTGATTGTTTGTTGTAATCAAGTAGAGAATTAGCAAAATTGGGTACGAAGTGTCCTGAAATAAAAATCAGAATATATTTGACGATACAATGAAGAAATAAAATGTTAGACACGCAGTTAGAGGGTAAAGAAAAAAAAAAAAAGAGTATTTGTTGGACCTGCAAAACTTGATCCAGCGAGATATAAATCTCTGGACTTGAAACTTGGATACTTTTCATACCATTTTAGTATGAATGTCATCAGATTTTTATCTGTAAGAAACAAACAAATGAAAATTTTCAGATAATATGGGAAAAAATGTCTAAAATATTTAAAGAGAAAAGGAAGGAAAATATTTTATTTATTTTATGTTTTTTGGGTTGTGATCTTACTGGTGCTATCATCTCCATTACTATAATCGCTGCTTGTGTTTGAATATGACCATCCAGATCCAACAGGGGAGTCGATTAACAAGAGATTTGACACTGAACATATATTAGTTGAAAAGTTTAAGGTTAATATTTCCATGTTACATGTTTAAAAAAGAAAAGAGAAAGAAAATTAGACAACCTTTGTTCCAAGAAAATAAATTTCTCTGCAGACCACGGGCATTATTTGTAGTAACGAAAGGTCCAACACTTGAAAACCCATCTCCTACTGAAGAGCACCCTGGTCCTGAACATTGCATGAACATCCAAACTTCTTTTCATTATTTTATATATACATGTATGGAATCCTTCATGAATTTTTTTTTTTTTTTACAAAAGAGATGGTAGTCCAAAGATAAAAAAAGAAGTTGCAAGTATTGAGATCTCAGTTTAGATTTACTATATGTGACTGCATAAATCAACTAAACTTAGTTTCAAACTCAATTTTTTTTATATATGAGCATTGATTAATTTACTAAATTTATGAGGTGAAATCATGACGCAAAGAAAAGAAACTGACCTCCTGTTAGCCAAATGGTGAGGGGCTGATTCATGGGATCCTTTTCAGCTTCAACAAAATAGTAAAAAAGACTCCGACCGGCTATTTCATCCACATCAATGTACCCAGCAAACTGCCTAAAACTAACGTCTGGTTGTCCCGGCAATTTGGTTATCAAATCATTCATTGGGAAGCCATCAACACCGGCACCAATTGCAAACAAGAGAAAGCCAAAAAAGATTACTCCACGGTCCATTTGAAATGGCCGTGATAGATACCTTTGGGTGAAAGGAGAAGGAGGGTAGCGAATGTTTACGTGTTTCTTTACTTGTAATAATTGCCTGCTTAAAAATAATGCAAAGAACTGCCATACATATAGTGCTCTTCAAGGGTGGCATTTGGTTTAAAAGTTGTTAGTCATTTTTAGGCATTGATTTGTTTTGTTTGTTTGATATAGAGTAATTATAGGAAGTAGTTTTCTATTTGTCTTTTAAAAAAATTATCTCACTTATCATTGTAAAACCCATTTCAAGAAAGAAATTAATAAATATTAAAATATATTAAAAATAAAAAATATGTTAATTTTTAAATATCGATTATAAAATTAAAAAATTTTACTAATGTACAGAAATAAATTCTTATTTGATGTAATTATAGAAGGTAGTTTTCCTTCGAGAAGCTTACTCTTTATTTGAAATAAATCTGTTAATGTTAAAGGTATAGCAGGATCAACATGATTTCGACAATAACGATGGCAATTTATAAGAAAAACTAGGGTTTTTGTTAAAACAGTTTCCTTTCAAAATAAAAATGTTAAAAAGAAAAAGTAGGGCCATGCACGGTCCGGGCCTAAATGGTTTTCGTGTTGGGTCTGTTGGGCTTTCCTTTTAAAAAGTCAAACCAAAGTTTGCTTCCATCAATTCATTTTTATATCATTTTATTGTTAAGTTGATAAAGTATTTTTTTAATATTTTAAATATATTTTTAAAATTAACATTGATGAAAAAAAAAAGATATTTATAATAAAATAATGTACTTAATTTGAGTCTATGAGATTAAGTGGATAGCGAGACCCATAAACACTTCTAGAAAAATTAAATAATGAGACAATCTTGATTTCGTAATATCTTTATTTCTAATAATGAAAAGTGATGGTGACTTTGAACCTCAATGAAGTATTAGCCACTACAATTAGCACAAGGACATGGCAACCCCCTATTTGTTTTGGACTAATTGTTTTTTTTTTTGTATAGGTAGGCTTTGCTTTAATTAATTACTTTGTTTGAGCATTTATCATTGTACTAAATATATAAAGTAGCCACAACATATTTCTTTATATTTTAGTATGTGAAATGCTTTGTGGCTTATTTGTAAGAAAATACTACTTCGTGTGCTACTAGAAACACTAGAAATAAAAAAAAAAAAAACACTTAAAATATGCTTGGATACATTAAAAAAAGATAGTTTTAAGGATAGCAAGCAGAGAACAATATTTATATTACTAATTAATCCATGACCACTTGTCAAAAAAAAAAAATGGTGGCTTTCTAATAGTTATATATTTTTTGTATGCATTTCTACTATAATACGAGCTTTGTTCCATTGGTCCTCCTTAATTCTTTCTTTTTAAAAAAAATCTTTGACTTGTATGTATATAATTTAAAAAATTATATTTTATTTTATGTTAAAAAATTTTTAAATTTTATAAATAAATTACTAAAATAACACATACCTTATAAAATATTACTAAGAACATGAGGATTCTATTGAACCAATTGAAACAGTAGTGGACAACTAAAACTTAAAAATTATTACAGCCAAATACTTTGACGCACTGAACCTGAACCATTGTTTTTTGAAGATCATAAAATAGATAGGCTTATCCAGGACCAATCCACGTGGCACCACTTAACTGGAACTCCATATTTCTACCAAGAAAACCCAGTTTGCCACGTGTCCAGTTGAAATCCATGTAGAAGATCAAAAACCCAAAGCATCCGACTGCCAACTGAACTAAACCTGCAAGAAAAATAGTCATCAGGAACCAAATCCAAGGCCATGGCTTCTCTTGCAACCTTAGCTGCTGTTCAACCAGCGACAATCAAGGGCCTTGGTGGCAGCTCCCTCAGTGTAACCAAGCTCTTTGTCAAGCCAACTCGCCAGAGTTTCAAACCCAAAAAGTACAGGTAACCCAAGTTCTGTTGCCTGGAAATCCTAATGTTTAATTTCAGCCCATCAAATGTATAGTTTTCTTAACTTGGCTATTTGATTATGATGTGGCTAATCTTTTAGTTCTTTTTTCTTGTAATTTTTGGTATTTGATAGGGCCGCTACGGTGGTAGCAAAGTATGGTGATAAGAGCGTGTACTTTGATTTGGAGGATATTGGCAACACAACTGGGCAATGGGACTTGTATGGATCTGATGCACCTTCACCATACAACTCTCTCCAGGTTTGACCACCCTCATTTTGATGAATTTGGTATTTGTGAAGGATTTACAGAGTAGTTTTATCCAGGCCATTCTGTAAAAATTGGATGCCGCCTAGCTATTATATATATATATATATATATATATGTAGCTGATTGATTTTTTTTCTTTTTACATTGGATAGGGAATAGAGGATGAGATGTTCTTATTAAGAGAAACATAGTTTCTTAAAGCTTAAAGCAGAAATATTGAGTTTATATTTGATATAATATTAATATATAGAATTTCTATACTGCCGATAAAATGTCACTTTATTAATTAATTTTTTAAAAATAAAAAACAAATTTTTATGTATTTATTTTAAACATTTGTTAAAATTTATGTTTATTTGTCAAGTAATTAACCTAAAACTAATGAAACTAATGATAATAAACGAAAAGATATAAAACTACAGAATCACAAATTTAGTATATGTAAAATAACATCACTTTTAACAGGCAGCTGTAGGCAATAAATTGTTTGTTAACCTTAATTATGTTTGGAATTGCAGAGCAAGTTCTTTGAGACATTTGCAGCTCCATTCACCAAGAGAGGATTTTTGCTCAAGTTCCTGATCTTGGGAGGTGGTTCCCTCCTCCTTTACCTCAGTGCCACCGCTTCTGATGACCTTCTACCAATCAAGAAGGGTCCACAACTTCCACCAAAGCCCGGGCCACGTGGCAAGATCTAATTAATTTATTGGAACTCTTAAGCTTTTCACTCTATGTATCTTATTTTAGTTCTGAAACATGTAATACTGAAAAATGACCTTTGTTATCCACCCAAAGACATTTGTTTCATGCTTAATTGGAGCATTACTTTCAGTTTGAAAACCTGCAGTCTTTGATAATAATCCTGTCATTTTTTATTACATATCTTTATTGCCATTCAAGAATTAATAGTGTCCATTGCCTCTGGTAAGAAGGCTGCTCAGCATTGCTTTCATCTGCCCTCTGCTTTTCTTCAGCAGGGGAGTTATAGTTAACAAATGTCTGATTCTCTGGTCACTTTCTTAGTTCATGTCATCTAAAACACTAACAAGTTATGTATTTGTATCGTATTTTACATAAAAATTATATATCACACTGTGTTAAAACAAAAAACATGAAATATATTTTTGATTTTTGTTAAACTCATATATGATTTTTATTAAAATTTTAACCGGTATCATTTATTTATTTTATCGTTTTCGTGTGATATCATAAATTAAATTGTCAAGTTTATTTTCTTTGTAGAATTCTTGTAATAATATCAAAAGTCCTATCCACTGCCAAGTAATTGAGCCACTGTCTGAAAATCTAGGAATATCTCCCAAATATACAATTTCACAATCAATGGCGATAAATAACCTTTGGGTGTAAATTGTAGTAGCATTTTAAGAAACATGGATTCTGAAGATAAAATCATGAAAAATCATACATAAGTGGCTATTCAAACTACATATTCCTTGCTTGGTTTTTAAAGATAGCACATATGGAATGCTTTAAACTCCATATTTTGAGTTTTCTTCCCTATTTACAAAAGGAACAGAAATACAGAATGTAACAAGCAGCCCACAAGTCAGAGTAATCCCATCTAGTTTTCTTATATTCCTTTCGTCTATCACACTCTCTCCCTCAATCTCTCTAACTGTTTCCAGTTTTTCTATTCCTTTCCCTCAATCTTCTCCTCTATTGTTGTCATTAATGGCGTGCAGTAGGGCTTCTTAATCCACCCAGGCTCTCAAGATAGGAAACCTTTTTGTTAGTCACTATGTTTAGTTTTTGCATGTGCTTTGCATCACCGTCTTTGGATAAGTCATCGGTCGAGTCCATCTTTTCCTCAGAGTCATTTTGATCTAAACTCCAAGTAAGTAAATCGGAGAGGGTCATTAAATTTGTTGTCTCCACATCACATCTTGGGCTTGAAACCACCGAAGTAGGCTGGCTGTCATCCTTTAAAGGGTTGCGTTTGTTTGATGCTTGACTCGGATTTTGGGCGGTATAATCAGCAGAGAGGACATCTTCAATTCTGGACAAGACCGTAAAGGCCAAGCTTTCCAGTATTCTTGAATAGCTCTCTAGGACTGCCTGCCCTACATCCTGCGATGCCAACAAGAAATCCTACAATTAGTTTCCAAGAAAGAGGTGATATTCTCATGGGATACAATCTTTCTTTCCTATGAAAAGGAACAAAAAGGTTTTGGCCGTTTTAGGATCAGAAAAAATATTCTTACATTAAGAGGAAAACTTGAGCTACCATTGATGCAATAGGATTCTAAGAAAAAGCAATAATAATGATAACCATGCAATGCCTAAACGAAGAGGATCATCCCAATGTTTTATAAAATTTTTATCTATCAGCACAAGTACTTACCTGGTTGTATTGGATTTTGCTGATTTCTAGTGAAGATTGAGGAAGTCCTGGGAACCGATGTTTGATAATGTGTAGGATGGTCTCAGCTCTCTCTTCAAAGAGTTCTCTCTTCTCAAAGCTGACAGCAGAACTCCAAGTTGATTTTCCATCCTTTTGGTTCATCTTCCTCTTCCATATTATTATAGATGCCTCAATTCTATTCTTGAGGTCTAAAATCTTGTGCTCTGATGATAAATCCATAGTGGAGAGAAATTGATCAGGATCAAAGAATTCGACTGTGATACTCCTATAGATTGAATCACCAAGACTAGCTCTCCCATTCTGATAAAGAATCAACATAAAAACAGATGTGAGGAAGGGATTATAAAAGTACATTCCATGCAACACTTTATATATCAGGAATTTTCCTTCTTCACCTTGGGGAGGGATTCAATGTAGTTTTCAGGGACCTCCATCTCTGACAGAACTTGGGCATTAATTGACATTGCTGCTTTAAGCACTTGAGTAACAGATTCCTTTTGGCTCTGCAGATTTTTTCTTGATGCATCTGACAGACCCTCTTTGGGAACTTTAACAGTAGGCAGCCACCATTTGTCATCTTTTCTCTTGTTGTTCCCCTTTTCGGAGTCTGGGGCATCTTTTGACAAATAATAGAATTCATTTTGGTCCTTGAAGGAATCTAGGCAATCCTGACCATTGTAAGTTATCATTAAATAAGGTACTGGTTTTTTGCTTAATTATTACCACTCAGAAAATCTAAGCTCATATGAAATAAAAGCATATACAAATATCTATGTCCTTACGATAAGCATTGTGTCAAGTGTCCGAAGGGCAGGAATGTTCATATGAAGATCTGTTCGTTGCTTTGTCACCATTATCTGAAAATCAATAAATAAAGAATCTAAGTTACAATTGATCCGTGGAGAAAATGCATGTATAGCGTATACATATAGATATAGCTATAGAATTCAACAATGTGATACCTCCATGTTTGCTCCGTCCTTGTTTTTCTGTTGAGAGGGAACAAGTTCAACAATGTGATCAGTTGCAGACAAGAGCCAATCTATTTCCCTTTTCCACCTTGCTTTCCTTTCATCTGCCATAGGCTCTAAGCGCGATTGCTCACCAAAGATAGAAGCTGAGAGCCATTGGGGAATGAAAAAACAGAATCAAGAGAAATTGATAAACACTAGAGAGAATATATTAAAACAGGAAAGGAGAATATACCAGCAAGGTTTGTAATGGCATTTGACAGTGCTAGAGCTGATGAAACTCCCTTCCCTCCACCTGACATGTCCTCACCTAAGAGTAATTTAGCAAACCTGTCCTTCATCTGCGCCATATCTGAATCAAAATCATGGCAGAATTTTTATAACCAGCAGTCCACAAAACGAAAATCTATTTCTAGTGTAAAGATATATATATATACACATGAAACTCGCCATTTAATAGCTGTTTTTCTCTGGCCTGGTAGGCAGCGATTTCTTCCTTGCTGAGACTTGACCTGAGAGCCTTGTCGTTTCTATTGGAAGATGGTAGATCATTTGGAGGTCTTGATGGCTGACTTCTAACTGCTACCTCTTCATCCAAAGCTCCCTCTTCTAATCTACTAGCACTCTCAATGCTCAAACTCTTTGCATGTCTTCCTGTGTTCTCATTCATACCCCTGAAATGAAACAACCTAGAAATGTAACTTTCCTGTTCTTGTTCGAGTGCACGAACCATTTTTAATGTTATTTTTCGAAAAGAACTCGTTGAAAGGAGTAAAAACAAAATCAAGAACAAAAACAAAAACGATAACAAAGAACAATTAACACGAGGGAGAGAATGATATTGTTGTTTGTCTTTGTTGTACGAGAGAGGTATGGAAGAGGGAAATGAGGAAAAGAAAAAAAAGTCCCCTCTTCCAACTGATTTCAGGGAGATTTGTGTTATTGGGGATTTTAGTAACTTTGACAGAACTGTGGGGGGTGATTGTTTTGTTGGTTTTTCCATTTTTGAGTAATTGTTGAACGTGGGGCGCATGTTTGAGAAATGAGCTAAGTTGATCCCTCATCTAAAACAAATTTAGATTATTCTATAGGTTGAAGGGTCTAGTTTCACTTCATTTATGGAAGGTGAAAGAATTGAATGGTTCATTTTCAATTTAAAAGTCAAAGCCTACTAAAAACCAGGGAGGATAGAACAGAATTCACCATGATTCATGCGCCAATCAGCACCAGGACAAGCTAGGTTGGTTAGGAGTTAGGACATCAACTTCCCAGTTGCCTGCTTTCCAAAGGACACTCACCCAGTAATTGTCTTGTAATTAAGGTCCCAAATTTCCTTACAAAAGCAGAGCTTTTCTCTGGTTGTACAACCTTTGATGAAAGCCAATTGGCTTCCTAAGGTGCATTTGAAATTAAATGGAGCCGTGTTTATTATGAAAATTCGTGTTAATTGCATTGTATAGTGCAAAAATATGCATTTAGATAACATGAATGGGACGATACAAATGGATTCTCACCATGCTGAATTTCTAAAATTTAATTGATGCTTTATTCCCCAACGAAAAAACTCACCTCCACCGGTCCCTATCTTTCTTAATAAGCCCCTGTTTCATTTTTTTTTTTTTTAATGCTTTTGTTGAGATTCTAATGATACGGCAATGTATAGCTTATTCTTGTCTATTTTTTTTTTTTACTTTGATTTTTTATTTAAAAGTTTTTAATATTTCTTGCCACTTCCATTTTTTATTTTTTAAATTTTATTTTAAATAAATATAATTATTATTTTAATATAAAAATAATTATTATCTTCTAAATTATTAGTAATTTATGTAAATATATTATGAATTTTTTTAAAAATCATATTTATATTATTATCAATTTCTAAACATTTAATAACAAATTTATTATTTTAAATAAAAATAATTTTAATAATTTAATTAGTTAGTAATTTTATAAATATAAAATTATAATATAAATTTTATTAAATATAAATTTTAATATAATGTTTTTAATAATTATTTTTTTCATTACACTTAATCTCACTATTATAATTCTATTTATATTTAAATACATATCTCATTATTTTAATATTATTATAATAATTAATATTATCATTATAATAATTATTTTCATCTCAACTATTATTTTTAATTTTATTAAAATTAATCTCGTCACTTATCTAAATTGACTTTTAGTATACTCTTTTTATTTATCCCACCAATTGGCCGGTTTTTAGGCCGGATTACAAACAAATGTCTTTTTTTTTTTTTTTTACGAACAAAGTAATTTATAAATCCATGAAAAGGAAAAAGTTTATAAATCCAAAAGAAAAGTATATAATAATTGCAATTATTATTGGGAAAAATTTATATGATTTCAAAACAATTTGGGGTTAAAAGTTAAAACTATTGGAAAAATAAAAAATGAAAATGCATGGCTTTGGCTCATCCTCATCATACGACCTTTACGTCGTCTCAATATTCGGTAGATTTAAAATTTTACGTATTTAAATCATATTTATATTAAATTTCTTTTTATATCATTCATGTACAAAATACTTAAAATTATTACATTAAATTTATTTTTATAACATCAAAAATATATATTTTATAATTTTTATCCATATATATATATATATATATATATTCTTAAACTAATATAAACTTTTTGGCAACATTTCCTTCCATCTCTTGTAAAGGTTCACAGCCCGGAATCAATCGTTGTCACTTCTCTCTCTTCACTTCCCAATCTTTTTGGGCTTTAAAATTCCACTGCACTCTCTCTCAGAATTCAACCAAATATGGAATCTATTGGAGTTCTCATGGCTTGCACCATGAACTCTTACCTTGAACAAGAACTCGAGAAGCGTTTCAACCTCAGGTTCTGGACGGGTCCGGAGAAATCAACGTTCCTGGCTACTCACAAAAACTCAATCCGGGCTGTTGTCGGAAACTCCTATGCCGGTGCCGGTGCCGGTGCTGAGCTGATCGAGGCGTTGCCCAAGCTGGAAATTGTTGCCAGCTTCAGTGTGGGGCTTAATAAGATCGATTTGGCAAAGTGTAAAGAAAAGGTTATCCGAGTTGCAAATACCCCTGCGTTTTGACTGAGGACTTAGCGGATTCGGCGATTGGATTCAGGTTGGCGGTGTTGAGGAAGCTTTGTGAGAGTGATCGGTATGTGAGGAGTGGCAAGTGGAAAAGAGGGGGCTATATGTTGACTACTAAGGTTCGTTGACTCTTTTTTTATTTTTGGCATAATTGTGCAGTGTTCGTTTGTTTGATAGTAGGTAGTTCGTTGAATTCGTTTTGGTTTGTTAGTTTTTGTGTGTTTGATGATTTTTTTATGATATTAGCTTTCCTAGGCTGATCTTGGAATCTGCTGAATTTGTTCTTTGCTTAACTGTTTATCATGTGCTCTTATTTTGGGGGCGTGAGTAATTTTTTTATAGTAAAAATAAAATTCATTTTCGTTTGAATTGGTACTGGATTATTCTTTGTTATTTGTGTTGCTTCTAGTAGATTGTGTGTTTCTAATTAGTGGGTGGGTGGCACGGTCTCTCGTCAGTGTTGGTTTTTGTCTGAAATAGAGTTTGATTTTAGGATGATGCTTTCCAGAATAATTTCATCTGTGGAAGTAATGAACGATGGTTTCAGACTTGTATTCATGCTTGGAAGTGTATTTATTATAATTGTTCTGTATTGAATTGGTACATTTTGTCCTAAATCCTATTTGAAGTTCAAAGTGGATTAACTGCATATCATTGTACCAGCTGGGAAATAAAAATAGATGCTTGCTTCATGGTTTTTAAATTGAATCCTTGTATATTTATGTATCATGATGGTTGTTTTCATCTTGCATAAAGGCTCTAGGTCTGAAAGATTCGGGGGATTGAAAAACTTGCTTATACTATTTTCAATATATTTGGTATAAAGATGCAACAGTATGCTTGTAATCACGATTGGTTGGTTATATCTCTAGCCTCTTAAGTAATTGCTTTCTGGTGGCTGCATTAGTTAATTTGGTGTCATCCAGGTGTCACAAACAATCAATAGACTTTGGTATCTTATGCCAAATGGTTATGCTAGCGCAGTTACTGAATTTCACCCTGTGATATTTGTTTTCTCTTTTTTTATTTCAGCATGATCAGTACATTATGGTCATTCTTAATGATCTATGGTGTTTTATATGATGAACTAATATTGGAATGTTTGGTAAGTCAAAAAAAAAAAAGATGTTAAAAAGTCTTTAGAGGCCTGTTGACAATGGTCCAAATGCTTTATTGGGGTAGTTCTATTGAAAAAGAAAACGAATAGTGTTATGATAACTTAGTGATATAATTCTTGAGCTTGCCACACTAATGTTCGAAATTTGTGATATTTGGCCTACTTAAAATGGAGATAGATATGGCTTTCATCTTGTTAGGATAATGGGAGCTCAAGTGATTTTAGGAATGAGTATAGTGGTGAATATAAACTGCTTTGGAGATAGGTTACAAACTAATTCAGGATTGCTGTTTCTTCTAATGGTCATAGTGTTGAGAATTTACTGAAAATGGAATACTGATTAGCTATTTTCTGAAGAAACAGAGGAAGGTGATTATGTGCCTCATTATATTTCTTTCCATTGGTATTTCCTGTTTATTTTCTATAAATTAGCTTTCTTACTTTTTCAACTTATTAGAAATTAGTGCAGAAAGCAATGGCATTAAGCTCCAGTTAGAGTTCTGCAGCTGTGGCCCTTTTTCTAATGATAACATACCTCTTTATTTGTTTTAATGAAACTGAGAAGCTAACAATCGTAGTGTATATTCACACACTATTCTCAAATCATTGAGTACAAACCTTTCTACCTTTCATGAGGTTTTAATTAGTCTTTCATTAAGTGGGATAATAAGTCTGTTAACTGCTTTGTCTATGCTTGTACTAAAAATCATTCAATTAATTTGCTTGCACAAGTACGACCATGGACCACCTATTTGAGAAGGGTGCAGCTGTGCATGCATATCATATTGCCCCAATATTTTTAAGTGCTTTTACTCACCTTTGAGCAGTTTCTTTCTACTTTCTAAAGAAGAGAAGTTTCTTTTGCTGGGATTTTAATCTCTTTCGTTCTAAGATTAAGAATAAGAAGATTAATCATTTGCTCTTTTAGATTGAGAACAAGAAGTTTTTTGTTGTGCTCGGAGTCCATTGGTTTGGAAAATTTTAAAGAAGCTGTGTCTTGCACAATAGTGACTTTTGACTGTGCGATGAAGCTTATATCTTAGCTATCATAATGTTTTGTCACTTTTTTTTTTTATGATTTCCTCCGTTATGAGAACATTAAGATTGAATCGCATCCTTCTTAATTGGTTTTTCTTATATATGTTGCATCAGATTTGAGGATACCACATTAAAGGGTTCTGTTACCCTTCCTTTGTTTTCAATCCGTTGTAACAAGTACTATTTTTCCATTATTTCAGTTCACTGGAAAAAAAAAGTTGGCACTATCAGGCTGGAAAGGATTGGCATGGCAGTTGCCAAGAGAATCGTAGCATTTAGCTGCCCTATTAGTTACTACTCTAGAGCAGAGAAACCAAAAATCAAATACAAATATTATCCAAGTGTTGTTGAGCTAGCTGCCAATTGTGATATCTTGGTTCTGCTTGTCCACTAACTGAGGAAACCCGCCACATCATTAACAGCGAAGTCATTGATGCTTTGGGTCCAAAGGGTGTTGTCATCAACGTCGAGAAAGCCCTCATGTTGATGAACTTGATACTTGATGTTGGGCCTGAAGCAATAAACATAACAATGTAGAAGCAATATATCGCAATAAACCCATAGCAATAGACAACAATGAATA